CCGAAAACCACACACCTTCCGCGGATATGAATTGACGAAGTTCGAGATTAATAAACAATAATTTGTTGTCAACAAATAATGTCCGACTTCCATTATTCACGTACATCAAGAGCCATTATCAAAGACAAAGTAATCAAGAGAAATTAGTAGCGGAAAAGAGATATAAATGAAGAAATAAAAAGAATAAAAATTCCTCTCTTATTGTTTCTTCAAATAAAGTAACAACAGAAAATAGATATGTGGGTTGCGCGACCGCTATCGGGGCTGAAATTGGAGTCAGAGGATCTGAGTTCAAATTCCAGCTGAATCCGTAGCGTTCACTTTTACAGAAATGCCGTTGCAAAATGTATAAATCTACCTCTTATCTCCCCAGCTATGGGTTAAATATAAGAGGAGACTGTTTACATTATTTACATTGTTCAGACTGTTGTCATCATTTTTATTGCCATATTCACGACGTTTCGGTCTTTGTACGCCCCGGCCTTCTTCAGGTGATTGGAATTTCAATCTGAACCCTATATTTTGTCCAACGGAATAAATTGTTCTAATTCCACGTGCTATGCCTCTTCCAAATGCCTCCCTTATCTATTTTTGACTCAACTCTCCAAGCAATCCACTGACACATGGCCCAGTGGATAAAAGCGTTGCTTGGATCCAGTTACTTGATCCAAAGTGTTGAGTTCAATCCCTGGCTACTGCAGTGGTGTAGAAAAACTTAGAGAGTTGAGTTAAAGTGAGATAAATGAAACATTCGGAAGAGATATAAATAAAAAATAATGTAAATAATGAACATAATACGAGATAAGATGAGGACAATAGTCCGAATAATGTAAATAGTGTACGTACATAATACCTCATCTCAGAAATATAGACAGATACTGAAAGGCCGAAACGTTGTAATAAATATAGCGACAAAGATGAGGCAATAGTCCGAATAATGTAAATAGTGTACATAATACCTCATCTCAGAAATATAGACAGATACTGAAAAGCCGAAACGTTGTGATAAATATGGCGACAAAGATGAGGACAATAGTCCGAATAATGTAAATAGTGTACATAATACCTCATCTCAGAAATATAGACAGATACTGAAAAGCCGAAACGTTGTGATAAATATGGCAGCAAAGATGAGGCAATAGTCCGAATAATGTAAATAGTGTACATAATACCTCATCTCCGAAATATAGACGAGGTATTATACACTATTACGATATTCGAACAATCCTCATCTTTGCTACCACCTTCTCAACAGCAACGGCATCTATCTCAAAATATAGACAGATACTGAAAAGCCGAAACGTTGTGATAAATATGGCAGCAAAGATGAGGACAATAGTTCGAATAATGTACATAGTGTACATAATACCTCATCTCAGAAATATAGACAGATACTGAAAGGTCGAAACGTTGTGATGAATATGGCGACAAAGATGAGGACTATAGTCTGGATAATGTAAATAGTGTACATAATACCTCATCTCAGAAATATAGACAGATACAGAAAGGTCGAAACGTTGTGATGAATATGGCGACAAAGATGAGGTCTATAGTCTGGATAATGTAAATAGTGTACATAATACCTCATCTCAGAAATATAGACAGATATTGAAAGGCCGAAACGTTGTGATACATATGGCGACAAAGATGAGGACAATAGTCCGAATAATGTAAATAGTGTACATAATACATCATCTCAGAAATATAGACAGATACTGAAAGGGCGAAACGTTGTGATAAATATGGCAACAAAGATGAGGACAATAGTCCGAATAATGTAAATAGTGTACATAATACCTCATCTCAGAAATATAGACAGATACAGAAATAAAAAAATAAAAATTTCTCTCTTATTGTTTCTTCAAATACAGTAACAACAGAAAATAGATACGTAGGTTGCGCGACTGCTATCGAGGCTGAAATTTGAGTCAGAGGATCTGAGTTCCAATTCCAGCTGAATTCGTAGCGTTTACTTTTACGTTGCCGTTGCAATATGTATAAATCCATCTCTTATCTCCCCAGCTATGGGTTAAATATAAGAGTAGACTGTTTATATTATTTACATTGTTTGGACTGTTGTTATCATATTGTCATATTCACGACGTTTCAGCCGTGGCACGCTCCAGCATTCATCAGGTGATTGGACACATGGGCCAGTGGATAAAATCGTTGTATACCGCGTGTAACAGCAAAATTGTCCAAATCGTGTAAAAGCAAAATTGTTTAAGCTTTTTTATAACTCTACTGGATTCTACTTTGAACAATAAGAATTTATTTAACTCTAAGTTGAAATGATGATCCATGTTGCAGTTGTTACCTCCTGATCCAGTCCTCCTTTCTACTGTTCACTCATTTTACTGTTCTTGATTCTGTATGGATTTTGAAGATGGAAGCCAGAATATAAATGTTGACACCATTACTGAAGGCCTGAAGAATCTTTTTCCTCTCACCATTGCTCAGTTGGGAAGACACAGTAGGGGTGATATATAACGATTTAAACCTGTTATTTTTCTAGCTGAATAACTCAAAGGGCTTTTCAGTGATTCTTACAACAAATCATGTCAATATGGCTGAACGTCTTATCTGAAAACCTGGAAAGAAGAAACTCAATTAGTTTAGTTTTTAGATATTAAACATTTTGGGGCGTAGATATTTATGTTGTTACATGATTTGGACAATTTTGTTCTTACACTCGCTATATATAAGTTGAATTTCCTTTATCCGAAAACCTTCAAAATTCGGAAGTTTTTTAGGTGCTGACGTAACTTGCCACAAATGGAAAATTTCAGAAAGCAACATGGCTACCTATAGCATGATTATTGTGTTGCAGCCTTACAAATAAAATGCTGACTTTTTTTTTCAGTTTTCACTATATTTAACTGTAATCAGAATGCAGGTTTTGTTTTTGTGTCTTTTTCTAAATTCATGCAAATGTCCTCAAAGAACTGAGAAACACTGTACCTTGTGTGTATTTTATAACGAAAATACAGGGTAAGTATCCTTTGTACACAATTCAAAAATCCGAAAACCTCTAAAATCCGTAAGTTTTTCAGGTGCTGACATGATTTGCCACAAATGGAAAATTTCAGAAACAAACATGTCTACCTGTAGCATGATTATTGCATTGCAACTTTACAAATAAAATGCTGACTTTTTTTCAGTTTTCATTATATTTAACTATAATCAGAATGCAGGTTTTGTTTTTGTACAAATCCTGTACCTGTATGCATTGTAACATTTTAATCAAAACATGACATCGTTGGTAGAGACTGATAGCTTACTGCATTTTCCTTCTCATATTCAGTCATGTCATCAATGATGTAGCCTCTTCATCCAGTTTCTCACACCTCATATAGAAGTAGTTTTTAGTATTGCATTTATATATTTCTTGTAAGTAGTGATCATGATTTTAAAACATTATTTTTTACATGAAATCTTAATTTCTGCCTTACAAATCTGTGTGAAATTACATGACTGATGTCATTAACCCGTATCTGTATATACACAAAGTTTATTAAATTTTATATAAAAAACTACTTTCAGGATATATGTTATTTATACAAAACTACCTTCAGGGTGTATGTATAAGCTGTGTTATGAAATGTAAAGGGATGTTGTGTTTATACTTGGGTTCCATTGGCAAGCTGCCCCATTTTATAGATGTTATATACAAAATAAATAGCCTGTATTCCAACATCCGAAAAAAATCTGAAAACCGAAGCACTTCCGATCCCAGGAATTTTGGATTCTCAACCCGTATAATGATAAATACATACAGGTTTTATTTTTAAGATGACAGATTGAATACACAGTTGGAAACCGTTTTTTTTCCTGTTTTTGTTTTTTTTTTGCTGGGAGGGGTGTTATGGAGACAAAAATTATTTAGAGGTACAAATGATGGGAAACTGTGGAGAGACATGATCGCTCATTCCTGAAGGGAGATGGGGAAACACATGCCTAACGAGCTCATGCGAATTAATGACAAAACAAGAACTGGGGGTGGAGATAGTAAGGGGACAAAAATTGCTTAGAGCCACAAAACATAGGAAGTTGTGGAGAGCCATGATCACCCACGTCCTAAAGTGTCGTCAAGAAACATCATGTAACTTACTTAAAAAGATTGCTTATAATGACTGTCAGATCACGGACTAGGAGAGAGATTATGGGGAGAAACATTGCTTAGAGCTACGAAGAATGGGAAGTTGTGGAGAGCCATGATCACCCACGTCCTGAGGGGACACGGCACATAAAATTAGAAGGGCGTTAAACTATCAAACATTTCTATTTATCTTTGAAATCAGCCTTACAGCGCATTAAAACCTCAAACTCCTTAAGTGGTCATTGATCTGAGACATCGAAATTAAGAACAATTTATATAAATGGCGGTAATTTGTTTGCATATGCGCAGAACAAACCAAATTTCAACCTTACAACGCAAATATACGTTGGCATAATTTAGCAAATGACATTAGATTCCAAAGAGTATTATATATATATATATATATATATATATATATATATATATATATATATATATATATATTTTGTTGTTATCGCTTTTTCAGAGGAAAGTGATATAACAACAAAAATTGCAATATGAGCTCTGGTAAAAACATGAAATAACAGCAAAAATTACAATATGTGTACTGGTAAAAAATGTTGCTGAAGATATTAGGTTTATAATACCCAGAAATTCATGCACAGATGTCCTCAATGACACATTGCACAGTGGATTAGCGTTAGTTACATCCAGTGACAGGACCCAGAGTGTGAGTTCAATACCCGGTTAAGGCAGTGGAGAACGTTCAGAGGGAAATTAACAGGAGATAACTGATAACTGACATCCATTAAACATGGCACGTGGAAATAGAACAGTCTACCCCAGTGAGCAAAAGGAAGAGTTCAGTTCGACATTCCAACCACCTGAAGAAGGCCGGAGCGTACAACGGCCGAAAGTTGTAATAAATATGGCGACAAAGATGAGGACAATATTCCGAATAATGTAAATTATATATATATATATATATATATATTCAGACACACATATATTTATATACATAATCAGGCATATATATAATCAGACATATATATATATATATATATATATGTATATTCTGATTAAATAAATTACAAACATTATGTCTGCTTATTTTTAACATAATCCGTTCATATTCACGGATATTTTTCCGTGTATTACAATCAAATGATGCAAAAAATTTAATGTAACAGTGAAAATCATTTTTATTTCCCAAGTACTTTCCATCTCTTTCTGAGATGATCATCAGGGGTGGAACTTGTAAGGCAATAACTATGTGTAGCTCTCTCCATTACTGACAGTTATGCTTTAGCGTTCATTAGAACGTGAAAAAAATATCCACTAAGGATTTTATTTCTTTTATGTTGGAATGTCATTGTCAAGCACGCATTAGACCTTGAAACTTTTATTTTTATGGAGATTTTAGAACATTATTACAGTATTTGGAGTTGATTCTATTCACATAAATACAGATATATATATATATATATATGTGTGTGTGTGTGTGTGTGTGTGTGTGTGTGTGTTAGTCACACCACAAACTCGCTTTCACAACGCTTGACTCTACATTTGAATGATAACTCTAACATTTTTAGTCATTTAAAACAACATGCCTGGCCGCGTACACAATTTCTGAAAATCCTTCTTGAAAACACAACTATACTTAAACATGAAAACAATAAACAAAAACTAAAAATTCTTGAAGCTATATACATAAAACATTTGAAACCTAACCTGAACAAAATAAACTACGAAATCTCCACAAATATCCTTAAATGCCTATAATTGATAACAAAAGCCATTGGTTTATACCAACGGCTTCCCATACTTAATATTTCTCGTTTTCACTCTCGCGTTGTCATGTGTGACGACAAGAGCTGCGGTGCGATTTTCGCTTCCAGCGTCTCGTATGCACGAATTTGTCGTTGCTTGGAAATCTTCCATAAAACAAAAACAGACTATCATTATTGTTTGGTCCGTGTATTGTTTAATATATTATAATGTAATTGTTATCTTTGATAATGGCTTATATAAGCCGAAAGCTTAGATACGATTAAAAAATATGTATCAATATGGTGATTTTCGTTCGTCTTCTAATGATAATGTTATTAAGCTTATCAGACGATATGCAAAGAATTTACATAAAATAAATACACAAAACTTGTCTATATTACTTAATGAAACATACATCAATATATACATACATATACATACAGACATATATATATATAATCGCTTCCCCTCAAGATGATCCCACTAGACGACAGGGGGTTACAGGGAGTGAAAGAGAATGGAAAGACTTTAGTATGGATGACTGAGGAAGGATAAAAAAGGAACAGGGTTCAAGAAGACATAAGATGGCGATTGACGTTAGATTGTAGTTATCAGCAAGCAAATCAGAAGGGAGATCCACGGGTAAGAAGTGCGAGAAAGAAAACTGTTAGCGCTGAAGTGGCCGTTACATCTAGCCATTTCAACAGTAAAAAAAAAGGAAGCTTTCTTGACAAACTGGTAACAAACTTAGATTCAAGCGGTCGGAACACCAGATAAAAAAAGCTCATCAGAACAGTTGCCATGTAAATATATATTAATAAAACATGAGATATCTAATATGCTTTTCTCCTCTTTCTCTATTACATTTCCCGTTGTGCGTTTATATATAAATAAAAAGTCGTTAGAAAATCATTTGGCTCGAATCGCCAGAGGATACCGAAAGATTGAAGCCAAGGTAGCGTGATTGGCTGATCTCCTAACATTTTAAACATAAAGTAATTGATTTAAAATATGGTTTTTCGCTACACAGTTCTAACCATGTTTCAAAAAACGAAGGCTAAAAGCTTAGAATTTAATTTTGTAATTAAATTAAAGACATTAGTTCCATTTCATCCTCAAGCGAATTTTGGAGTAACTTATTTATTACTGGGTTTTAAAGGCACAGCAAAAAATCATAATTCACGTTTCCAAGGATACAGAGAAATAAATAAATATATATATATATATATATATATATCTTGACATGAGGGGGAGTAGATAGACAAGATGGCGATCATCACCAAAGGGATGAATATTGTTGGGCAACAGAGCAAGAAACATATATGAAATGACATAGACAAAGACTGAGATAGATAGATAGATAGATAGATAGATAGATAGATAATGAATATACAGTGACAGATAGATAGATAGATAGATAGATAGATAGATAGATAGATAGATAGATATGAATATACAGTGATAGATATTAACAGAATCTTCAGACCTGTAAAGCAAATGTAAATGGAACAATTCACTCCAAGTTTCAAAATTAAGAATAATGATTTTATATTGAAAGAGTGGGGGAAAGAAAGATGTAAATTTATTATCGTGTAGGAATGGGGAAAGGAAATGGTGTGTATATATACATTAACAGTGAGACCCAACGATTTCGTCTCAGTTGTTGGACTCATGGTGACCTAATTTAACATGAACTATCTTTTCATGTAACGACTTATGTCTATAATCTGGATGTTAAATTAGGTCACCACGGGTCTTAATGACAGTGAATATAACTGAATATATATATATATATATATATATATATATATATATATATATATATATATATATAGAGAGAGAGAGAGAGAGAGAATGAAGAATGGATTCTATCTATCTATCCATATCTATATATATATATATATATATATATATATATATATATATATATATATAATTGGCACGAGGCCATCACAAAGAACTGTATCAAATAACAGAAACCACATCGCTTGAGGACATTCAACAGGAGCAACAACTAAAATGAATAGCACGTGTTTCTCGGACAGAAAATAATGACATATCACTTGATGACTACTAGCAGCAGCAACAATTAAAATGGATAACACATGTAATGCGAAGAGAAAATAATGACATAATCAAGATGTTGACATTCCACACTACTACAAACAAAAGGTTAGGAAGGAAAGTGTCCATTAATACTGGAAAGAGCGATAACAGCTACTGGACTTGAGAAACCTATTTTCCTGATTTTTTAAAGGAAATATTTTACAAAATTCAACCAACGCTAACAGTGGCTACTCGGGCCGAATGTTTTTTGATAAGAAAACGGCTAACATCATCAGATAATTAAGACCTTTTTTTTTCAATGGGAACATTTAAACCTGACAGGATATATTTAAAACAAGAGGAAGAGAAAAAAAACAAAGCTTAACCTACCTAAGGAGCTTATGTAAGTGGTTTACAGAACAGGGATTAGAAGAGATTATCGAAAAGACTTAGATGTACAAAGAATAGGAAATTGTAGAGAGCTATGTCTCCCACGTCCTTAACAGTCCCGGCGCATAGACGAAGGTGTATGTATTGAAGTGTATGCATCTGTGCATGGGCAGATGCATATATGTGTATGCGTGTGTGCGCGAACATGTGTGTATGTTTGTATGTGTGTGTATGTGTGTATGTGAGTATGTGTGTGTTATTGCAATATCACTTTTGTCGATTATTTTCCGATTTCTTTTTGAATTTGTTGGTCTGATGGATTGGATTGTGATTACGATTCCAATGTAATAAATTATAACCATGGAATATTAATGTTTGAGCCTTTATTATTATTATCATACTTATTATAAAACACAGGTTGTGTGTGTGTGTGTGTGTGTGTGTGTCTGTACGTTTATATATTGGATCAGATTTCCTACATTTTTCAAACGATTTCAACAAAACTTCACAAGACTACGTAAAATTACCTTGTGGTGGTTCTGACAGCGCAAAAAATTGGAAAACACAATTGCTTTTGCACGAAATCAATTTCAAAACACGATTAAGAGGCATCACTGTCGCGAGAAAGAAAGGGGAACAACTCATATCAAGTTATACATATTATAAAACCCAGGTTGTTTGTGTGTGTGTGTGTGTGTGTGTGTGTGTGTGTGTGTGTGTGTGTGTGTGTGTGTGTGTTCGTTTATATATGGGATCAATTTCCTACATTTTCAACCGATTTCAACAAAACTTCACTTTTTTTTGGCAGGTAGTGTTTCTTATTGTCTTGCACACTTTTTCTTTATTTTACATTCAGAATGCTTTAAAAATTCCATTTACAAGACAATTGTTTATAATAAAATTCTATTCAATCGGTAGACTCATAACGATTGAAAAACAATGTTTTGTTTGAGTTTGGGTTTGACCAATTCGTAAAAAAAAAAAAAAAACTAATTAAGACATGCGTGTCCGTCAACCTTAAACAATAATCTTTGTCAATTTTATTTTCAGTCTTTATGATGGTCGATACTTGATCTATCTCTTACTTCCCCGGGCAACGCCGGACTCTACTGCTAGTATATATATATATATATATATATATATATATATATATATATATAAAGACATTTTTATGTTTAACGTTCTTTTTATAGATACAAGTATTTAAGTAAATGCTCTGTTTATAATAAACAGTATTAGATAACATTTACCGGCCTGAATATACGGAACCGTCATTTACGCTGACGTGCCTTGACCGCTGGGCCACAATACAGGATGCGGGTTCGAATCCTGTCAAAGGACCAATATTTTCTAGGAAAATTTCTCGGACATTCAGGCCGGTAAATTTTATCTAATACTGTTTATTATAAACAGAGCATTTACTTAAATACTTGTATCTATAAAAAGAACGTTAAACATAAAAATGTCTTTGATAAATAAATTGTCGGACTTTGTCCATTTCTTAATATATATATATATCACAGCATATATATATACACGAATCGATCATTTCTCTCACGCTCTCTATCTCTCTCTATCTCTATCTCTCTCTCTCTCTCTCTCTCTCTCTCGTTCTCAATCTTTTGTGCTCCACCCCCCATTCCCCAAGCAAACGGAGATGAAAATGACATGAGGGGGAGTAGATAGACAAGATGGCGATCATCACCAAAGGGATGAATATTGTTGGGCAACAGAGCAAGAAACATATATGAAATG